AAAAACAAAACAAAACAAAATGCTGTTGATTTAAAGCGGCTTAAGGAGGAGAGGGTTTATGTGGCTTACACTTCCAGATCATAATCATTTGATGGAAATCAGAGCAGAAATTTAAGCAGGAACTTAAAACAGAAATCTTGGCAGAATGTGTTTGCTGGATTATTCTCTGACTCCCTCTTAGCTAGGTTTTCTTATACATTCTAGTGCCACCTGCCTAGGGATGGTGCCACTCACAGTGGGCTGGGCTCTCTTGTATCAACTAATACTGAGGCAATTCTCTTGCAGACATGACTACAGGCCAATTTGATCTAGACAATTCCTCAACTGAGACTTTCCTTTCAGATGACTCTAGGCTGTCTCAAGTTGATAGTTAAAGCTAAATATCACACCCCCAAAATAGTCATGACACTATTGCATCAGCAAGCATATCTTACCAAGACAGTCACTGTTGTAGATTGAAGGGTGCACAATCTAGGTAAGACTTTTAATTGCTTTTTTTTTTTTACCTAGTAGCCTGAATAACACCTGTGGCACTATGACCATCCATTATCTATCAGTAAAGGTGGGCTTCAGCTCATTTCTAGCTTGATCTCTCTGAATTCCATCTTAAAGTTATTACAGTTGCATGACAGAATATAATTGCTTTTCAATCCCTTTTATGAAACATAAAACATGAAGGACACTAAACAATATATTTAAAAGTCATATATATTTAATAATAAATAAATGCTACCATTTTATTATTGAAGCACATAGAACTTGGTTTTAAGAAATGGATTGTGGAAACAAAGCACCAAATTTTGCCTCACATAGTAGCCTAGTGTGGATTGAAGCTCATTGTTTATCCCAGGGTGACCTCAAACTCATGACAATCACTCTATTTCAGCTTTCCAACTGCTGGAATTCCAGCCGTGGCTAAGCTGTAACTTTGGTTTATTCAAATTAAAGATAACTTCAAACATGAGGAAAGAGAGTGACTAAAATTACTTTCAATGCTAATATTCAAAACAAACCATATTCAAATTAAATGAAAATATTCTGAAATTTTGGTTATGTCTGTACAGAGACCTCTTCAAGAAATTCAGGGTGTTTTGCTGTTAAAATATCCAACAGAAGACTGGACTACTTGGACTTGAGATTAACAAATGTATGCTTCCTTGCAAACTGGTAGTTTTTCCATAAGTTATTTATTATAGCATTCATGTGCCAAAAATATGTCTCAGTAGATTAAGACGATTTCCACCAAGCCTAATGACTTCAAGTTGATGCCTGGGGCCTATATGGTGGAAGGAGAGACCTGACTCCAGCAAGTTGTTCTATGACATTTACACACATGCCATAGTACTTGTATGTCTACATGTATTCGTGTGCACACACACTCCCATACACAATGTAATTTAAAAATTAAAAATAGTGCTTACTATGTTGGGACTTAACTTCTTTGTAATAGAAAATATATTGAATGTGATATTACAACTTTAAGCAACAGGGGGTTTGTATAACTCTTCCTATTTCTTGACAGCCATGAGAAGTTTTAATGAACATTCCCAACCATAATGTGTTTTTGACTGATGACTCCTGTGAACTCTACCATGTCTGTACTGTTCCCAACCTCCACAATTGGCCCTGCTCACATTCTTTGTGCCAGATTAGTTGGGTGATTTTTGCCTGAGCATAATCTACCCATGCCCAGGCTTAGTCTTGGTCAAGAATCTTATGCTTTCGTGCTACCCCGTAAGTTCCCTGGATTGTAACCCACCTATATCTTCCTCAATCCCTCACCTAACCTGGGTCATACATTTGTCCCCTGGCCCAGTCTGATGAGTCTCTGGAACCTAACCTACTGACACCATCCATAATTCACAGGCACAGCCTTGGTCACACAGCCCATATACCAGCCTACCCTGGTGAGGACCTAAAATTCAGGCCCACTTATGCCATCTTTACATTCCTATGGAAAGCACAAGCAACACAATTTGTACACTAACACAAATAGATTCAACTGTCTGTAGCTTTCACATGTTTCTCATTCACCACTGAATTGAAATCACCCCCATTACTATAATCCAGAATCAACACTGAGAACCTGAGGGATTGACCTATCAATTCCTAATCACTTGATCTGAAACCAACCAAACTTAACAACAAAAATAAAAACTAATTTCCACTCAACAAAGGCAGCCTAGAACCTCACATTAGACAAACAGCTAACAAAAAGTCCATATACCCAGGTCTCATTGCAAAAACATTAAAAAAAATATGAAAAGACAAGACAATATGCTCACCCCTCAAAATCTATCAGTCTATAAAAATGTTCTCCAATGAAAATCACCTATATGAACTTCAGGACACATTAAAAGAAGAATCATAAATTTCATCAAGGAATTCAAGATGTTTAAATGAAGCATGAACAAATAGTTTAATGAATGAAAAGAGAATAACAATAAATTCTGGTGTGATAGCCAAAAATCTCCACAAACATGGTTGAATGAAAACAGACAATTCATAACTTAAATATTGTAATAAGTAAAAAGATAGAAATATTGAAGCAAACACAAGCTGAAATCAAGATGGAATTGAAAACTCAAAACATAATTAATGTACTTGAGATAGTCTTACAAGAAGAACAAATTAAGTACAAGATAGAATGTCAGTATTTGAAGATAAGGTAGAGTAATTGGACCACCCAAACAAAGAATATGAAAAAAAATTAAAACATACAAGAGGAGCATGAATAATTATAGGAACACTTGTAAAGACCACACATTTCAATTATAGTCATAGAGGAAGAAGAATCCCATGTCAGTGATGTAAACAGGGTCTTCAATAGGATCATAGAAGAAAGTTTGCTTAACTGAGGAAAGATATGCACATAGAGATACAATAAGCATACAGAACTCCAAGTAGACAAGACCAGAAACAAAGCTCCCCTTGGCATAATATAGTTAAAGCACTAAATATGCAGATCAAAATCAGGTACTGAAGTCAATAAGAGAAAAACTGTAAATCACACCTAAAGAAAAAAAACCCAGACAAATCAAATGACTTCTTAATGGAAACTTGAAAAGTCAGAATAACCTGGAACAATGTACTAAGTACTAAGTTCAAGTTCTAAGACCAACTTAGACTAAGGTATCTAAGAAAACAATCTATCATTGTTGAATGATAAAAACTTTCCATGATATAAAGAGATTGCAAAAACTTTTGCCAACCAAACTAGCTCTACGGAGAATACTGGATGCATTAATTTAGACTGAAGTGGGAAGTAAGCATAGCCAAAGCACAATAGAAAGAAAACAAATGAAGCTATAATTACTGTAACACAACAGAACTAAGAACAAAATGACAGCAATCTACACACAAATTTTAATGATAAATTTAAGTACTAATGACCTCAACTCTTCAATCAAAAGGCACAAGTTTGTGGAATGGATTAATAAAACACTGATTGGCCAGTAGCCAAGCAGGAAGGATAGGCAGGATAATCAGACGAGAAGAATTCTGGGAAGAGGAGGGCTGAGTCTGGAGACACCAGCCTGCCGTCCAGGGAGCACCATGTAATGGCACACAGATAAAGCCATGGAACACATGGAAACATATAGATTAACAGAAATGGTCTGAGTTTAAGTGTAAGAGCTAGTCAGTAATAAGCCTGAGCTAATGGCTGAGCAGTTTGATTAATATAAGCCTCTGTGTATTTACTTGGGTCTGAGCGGCTGTGCTTGTGAATTATGGATGGTGTCAGTAGGTTAGGTTCCAGAGATGTACCAGACTGGGCCAGGGGACAAAAGCATTATTCCACAGCACCCATTTGCTTAGAATATACTTCCCCAACATTTCACTTTAAGGTGGTTTCTATCTTTGAGTGCTGGCAGGATGAGTTTCTTATAGATAATGGATAGATGGATTTTATTATCTTAATCCTAAAACAATCTAGTATTTATTCTGTTCTGTGATTATTATTAGAATGGTAACTCTAATGAAAACTTATAATGAAAAGGAGCAAGCTGAGCAGGGTAAATGACAAAATGTAAAATCTGAGGAGAAAGGGAACACCAGGAAGTAGAATGGAGCTAAGTTCTGTGTTCAAGGACAGAAACAGATTAAGAAATGGAATAAAGACCTTAGAAAGATCTCCTTCAGCTAAGTTTCCAAATGTGAAAAGAAATTAAAAAAAAGTTTAGAGCCTGGTGTGATGGTACATGACTTTAATCCCAGCACTCCAGAGGCAGAGGCTGGCAGAGGTAACCAGAACTCATTTTATTGGGCTCAGGGCCAGTTCAATAGGAAGAAATTCATGCCTAGGACTGTCACCTAGCCAACCACCTGTGGCTAGTGAGATCATGGACCCTACAGAACATACTACTACAAATTTCCTAGACCAGTATAACTTCCAAATGCATTCTAAATATTTATCCTTTGATTCACAGATATGTGTAACTCTCATTACTTATCAAAGAAGCTTCATTATGCAGGAGATAGAAAGGATTACAGAAATTCACAATGGCTCAAAGTGCAGAGAATAATTGACCACAGAGTGCCCACGCCCCAATTATTAATCTACAACAAAACCCCTATATCCAAGGCTCAGGGAACATTACAGAAGATGGAACTGAAAGAGTCTAAGAGCCTGAGGACCAGCAGGTCTGCTGCTACATAGGATCAGATAGGATCTTCCATACATGACAGAGATGCACACATGAACTCTTAACAACATGGTCACCTAAACAAGATCTGAAAAATTTCAATTCAGTTAACATCCCGATGTAGATGAAAGAACTCTAACAAAATTCTGCCCCTAGCTCAAGAGCTACAGGCAATTAATGGCTGCAAAGTGACCGAGGATCAGTCTTTTCCAAGTAAGAGCCCTCTGACAGATTATTCAGTCCTGAGTGGTCATACACACACACACTCATTTTTAATGAGGATGCCCCCAATAGGCTCATAGGTTTCAATGCTTGGTCCCCAGTTGGTGGAACTGCTTAGGAAGAATTGGGAGTTGTGGCCTTGTTGGAGGAGGTGTGTTACTAGAGGTGGGCCTTGCGGTTTCAAAAGTCCATCTCATTCCCAGTTAGCTCTCTCTGCCTTATAGTTGTCTCAACGTGTAAGTTCTCGGCTACTGTTCCAGTGCCATGTCTACTTGCCTGCCTGCTACTCTGTTCACCGCTGTGATAAAATTGCTCACCCTCAGAAACTGTAAGCAAGTCCTCAATTAAATGCCTCAGTTTACTTATAATGTGTTTTCACAGAAATAGAAAAGAAATTAAAACAATACTCACAGACACACACATACGTCATCAAATGGACTCAACATATTATATTAATACATACATATATATGGAACAATAATAATTAGTAAGAGGAGATCATGGATTTGAGAGCAAGTAAGGAGACATGAGATGAATTGGAGTGGGAGAGAGTATGGTGGAAACAATGTAAATACAGTGCTCAAATATGAAATTCCAAAATGAGTAAGACAAATGTACAAAAATACATATTTCTGTTCTATGGGAGAACAAAAAAAAGAAATAAATAAAATATTCTGTAGATATTTCTACTTGAAACTATCTGAAAATACAAGTATGTCACTGCAGCTAAACAGAAGTTACATAATAAGTTATATTTCTCTTTTGTAAAATATGAAATAATCTGCTTAAACATAACTTCAGAATTAATTACATTGAAGCATATGGCTACAGAAGCATATTTTTATTAATTTTCTTTTAACTTCCTTATTATATCAAAATATCTGTTTTTATTCTCCAGTATCTCTATAATATTTACTAATTTCTTCTGTTGTCATAGACTAAGTTACATCTCAGACCCTTGGGCAAACAGCCAAGTCTTCAAGAACTTTCAGTTTCTGAGTTTTGGTTTTACTATATTGTATTTTGGTATTACATTATATTTATAGAAAAGTATGCTAAATTTCCATTTGTAGTAGTATGTCAGTCCATTTTGAATTTCTATAATACTTGAGTCTGGCACTTTGTGAAGATGTTTGCTTGGTTCACAATTCTGTTGACCGAAGTGTCAAAACAGCATGATACTTCCTTTTGGGGATGAACCCTTGGCTGCATCACACTATTTCAAACAAACAAATAGAAAGAACTGATGAAATGCACACACATTCAGAAACATGGAGTGAACTTATTTTATAACAACCTATTCTTATGTAGATAATGTGTTCCCATAAAAGCTAAAATTCCTGAGAGATAAGCTTTAATCACTTCATGAATGTGTGCCCATGGAATAATTACATCTCTTTCGGCCCTATCTATTACAGATTCTTACACATCCCAGCACAACCACATTGGAGCCAAAGCTTAAAGTTCATAGACCTTGCCATACACATACAATTCATATTTAGGGCAATACATTATACTATTACACAGTTTCATATAATAATTTCTAAAATTATTTTAATTTAATATTCATTAATGCATGTGTTTTAAAATTTATTCTTGTTTTATGTGTATGTATATTGTCTGCATGTATGTGCATGAAACACATGTGGTGTCTTGTAGCACAAACCTTAAAAATGGTTTGCTATTTCCTCTGATCTCCAGGAAAACTTTATTTATTAACATACAAATAAAATATCACCACAGTGTCTGGTGCCCACAGACCAGAGATGACATTGGATTCCTGGACCTGGAGCTACAGATGGTTGTGAGCTGCCATGTGCATGCTAGAAACTGAACTCAGGTATCTTTTTTTTTTTTTTTTTTTTGAGAGCAGCCAATAATTTTAACTACCAAGCCATCTCTCCTGCCCCTATATAATGTGTTTTGAGCAAATCCACTCCCAATCTCTTTTTTTTTTTTCACTTTCTACCCTACCCCTTACCACTATTTGTAAGCCCCTGAAACCATATGAGTGGCCAGGCCCCTCCCCCAAGAACCTCTAACTGCCCTAACTGCTGGACCCTGCCCACACCAATCTTCACCCTATAAAGCTCCACCCTGAAAAGTTCCACCCGACTTCCCAAGAAACTCCATATAAGCTCTCCATCCTATTCAGTTTTCTTCTGTTTCTCCCTCGAACTGAGGCAGTTACCCTCCTTGTTTTTTTCCTCCCAATAAATCTCTTATGAGAGGTTTGCTGTGCAGTGTGACTTTGTGGTACTCCTTCACTTCCAGCTGCCAGGATACCTTCCCATCCGAGCTGCAATGCTTACACTATTTCCGCCCAATTTGAGCTATTCTTTTTTTAAAAAGCACAATGACTCCACTTAGTGTTGCTTGTATGTGCATGGATGTACAACCATGTGCTAGAGCATGGGTAGTATTACAGGTGATTAATCCTTGAATCAGACTGTCTCTCCATTTCCTAGCAGCCATAAATTACCAATAGTTCAACTAAGGATAAGACTTCATAAGCCCTTCCTCTATTCATGCTCAGATTTTGGCTGGCTTGATCTTTTTTGGTCTTGTGCATGCAGTCCCAGCCTCTGTGATTTCATATGTGTGACTGAAATGACACGTCCAGTAAGTAATTTTTAAAATTGTTGTATTAAGAAATAATAAACTAGATGTAGTAACACATGCATTTAATCCCAGCACTTTGGAGTCAGAAGCAGGTGGATCTCTATGAGTTCAAGTCCAGCCTGGTCTCAGGAAGGAAGAGAGAGAGTAGAGAGGAGAGAGAGAGAGAGAGAGAGAGAGAGAGAGAGAGAGAGAGAGAGAGAGAGAGAGAGAGATAGAGACTGAGTAACATAAAGAAATACAAATGAAATTTCATCTCATGGTAATGTAAATGTTGAAAAAGTAAAAAAAAAAAAAGAAAGAAAAAAGACTTTATCAGCCACTTAATCCAAAGATAAGGATTTAAACTCAAAATAATCAGAAACATAAGTTTTTTAATCCTTTGTAAATATCTTAACTAGACTTATAAAAATGAGTTTTGGAAATTTGATTGAAGATAACTATTGATTTTTATAAATATATTTGAAGTTTCTTGTTTTCTTCATATTTTTACTTCAAAAGAACTAGATCCACATAATCTGAGTAATGAATACAGTAGATAGCTTTGTTTATTTACCAACGTATGGTCCACTTTCAATATGCTTTGTTGACTGAACAATTCTATATAACAGAAATCACAAAAGATACATAGTATTTATTTAGCATTTATCATGTGACAAATATTACTCTGGACAATGATTATTCAAATTGTAGAATAATAAGGTTCAGTATCACTGTCAATCCCCACTTAGCTATATTAGTTACTTTTCTACTGTTGTGATAAAATACCATGACAAAGACAATTTCTAGAAGAAAGAGTTTAGTTGTGCTTATAGTTCCAGAGGGATAAGAGTCCACGATGGTGGGAAGTGGTGGGCCTGGTAGTTGGAGCAGCAAGTTGAGAGCTCACATCTTAAAGCATAAACAGGCAATAGAGAGCACAAACGCAAAATGGCTTGAGCCTTTAAACTCTCAAAACCTGCATCCAGTGAAATACCTCCTCTAACAAGGCCATACCTTCTCCTCAAAACAATGCCACCAACTAGGACAAAGTGTTCAAATGCCCAGGATCATGGGGACATCTCATTCAAACACCACATTAACTAAAAACAATTGGTCTCATTCTAAAAAGACTTTAAAAACACTGATGAGATAATCTACAAAGGCAGTTGATATGTTTGAGTCCTACAGTATTACAATAATTTGCTTGGATTAGAAAAGTATTCATGTGACACATTGACACACTGACTGGGACTAATTTACTAAGTGGCACATGACAATATATTAAGGCAGACAGATCCTATCAACTAAACTATCCATCTGCTAACTGGAAATCTTTAATCTCTCATGGGTCTTATATAAATAGTAAATGCAGCTGTCTCAAATAGGGCTTTATAAGTTTAAAGACAGAGATTATTTTTAAAAAAATCAATAGAATGGGATAGATTTATATCTTCACAATTTATAAAATGACAACCTTTTGACTTCTTACAACTTGGTTTCTTCATCTAAACTCAAGCTTGATATCAATATGATCATAATAACAAAGTCTAAATGGTAAGGTTTTGATGAAGATTGGGTGAGATACTCATGAAAAATACATGCAGTAACACTTGATAAATGATAATTTTGTGTTAATTATTAAACAGCATTTCCGAATGTGAGTTTCTGTGAATGGTACTTTAAGAGGTAGTCCTTACAAGTAAATGAATATACAAATAACTATTATTGCTCTGCTGACAAATGCTTTTGGGAAATGCTGCTAGCTAATAGCCTCAATTGAGACATTAGTAATTCAATTAACATAATAAAATCTCTATAAACTTCTACAATAAAGAAACCTACTAAATTTCCATTAACTCTATCAGAATCCCAGTATGAAACAGCTTGCCTCTAATGTTCAAGTCAATGTAGTTTAATGAAGTGACTTTTGAAGGAGTACTGAATAGAGTTAACAAAATAAACCTGGGATGTTAGATTACCTAGAGACTACTACTACTATTATTATCTCTATGGCTGAAGTTATCAGAGAATTTGCTATTTCCTCTCTCTCTTCGATTGCAAATTTCCCAAAAAAATCTTTAGGACACAGTTTCACTGTCATTTGCTATGTGGTGTCTACAATTCTTTCCATCAAGCTTCATACCCCTACATTTCTTGGTTAAAGGAAAACATAGCCCAGGAACTGAGATTTCTGGAGTCAGCATGCAGGAACACAGAACAAGGCAAAAGTCAGCAGAACTGAGGGAGGCCAAAGAAAAGTAAATGATGCACAGTGCCCTCCCTGGGTGTTTGCTAACATCTGACTAAAGATCCTCACGATAAAATAGCTAGCAGATGAACTGAACCTGTTGGGGGGGCAGTGGGGGTAGGCGAGCCAGCCGTGAGGGCCTGAGAGCAGGAGAGCACACCCTTCCCCCAGTCTGTCATGGGTGAGGAAGCAGGTCCTGTACTTCCCCAGGGCAGCACACGAGAGCTGACCCTGTTGGCGGGAGCGAAGGTGAACCGGGACTGTGGGCTTGAGAATAGGAGAGCTGCGGCCACCCTCTCCCTGGTATGCAATGGGGTGGCAAGGGTAAGGAAAATATGCCCTCCCTCTGTGGGGGCCCACGGACACCCCAGCTTGTGGCTTGTTTTCATCTTAACTCAAGGTCAGAGAGTCCGAGCTTGTTTTCCCCTGCAAGGCTGCATTACTATCCTACTGGAAGTTTTGGCCAAAGGCGTAGTCACCAGATGTCTTGAGTATTAAGGAGGTCTTTACATTTGATTGTACTTTTTACCTTGAACCATGATGTTCTTGAAAGGGGGAGGTCTTTTTGCCCCCCTTGCTTTGGGTATTTAAAGGCTGTGAGTAATGAAACTCATGTCTGTGGTACTGAGCCAGAGCCCTGTGTCTCTGTTTTTTTCTTCATCTATGTCTATATTTCATAGCTATCATTTCCCAATTCCACACTCCTCCCTTCAGAACCATTCAACGGGTTGAGCAGGACTTGACAAACGGCGCCCTGCACGTGTGGTTTTCTGGATAGAGGGAATCCAGTGATAGAACAATGCAAGATGAAGGGAGTACTCCGGATGTCAAAAGTGCAAGTGCGGTGAGAAAACTCAGGAGTAAAATTGTAAATATGGGGCAGGGTAATAGTAGACAGTTGTTTGTACATTCGCTTGGAGATATTTTGAAAACCAGAGAAGCTAAAGTTAGAGCTGCCGCGAGTATCTAAGTCGTGTAGGTTTGAGTTTGTAATTTTTTTTTTTTTTTAGGCCTTAGAAGGTAGTTTGAAAGTGTGTATGTCTGGGTAGTTGTATAGGTTGAATGAGTGATGGTGTGAGTCTGAGTGAATTATCTGGATGTACTGAGGATGCAGGCCTGAGTTGGGACTAAAGTTATTGAAGCCACTAGATGTGGACGCCTTAATGAAGCTGAGTTCGAGGAGACTAAAGAAGAGCTGAAGGGCTTGAGAGATTTAGTAATTTCCCTTTCACAAAAATTGGCGACTCTGCAGGTCTCCTCTCTTCTCTGAAGGGCACTCCTCTTCCTACTGTAGTGGCTGGATTAGAACAGCCTAAGGGGCCTTCCAGCATGGCTGGAGTCTCTCTTTTGCACCCACCCTCCCCCCCACACCCCCACACACGAGACAGAGAGAGAGAGAGAGAGAGAGAGAGAGAGAGAGAGAGAGAGAGAGAGAGAGAGAGAGAGAGAGAGAGAGAGAGAGAGCGCTTGGTCGGTGCACGCATGCATGGCCCCATGGGGGCTCACAAAAGCCATCAGTATGACACTGGGGTTCTTGCCCAGCAGAGAACGTTTCTCCCTGAAACAGACATAAGTGAAACAAAGCCCTCTGAGCCGCTGGAGCAACTGCTAGAGGCTGCCACCTTTACGAAGTTGTTTGATAAGGAATTTTGCTTGCCATATATGGACAGCCTTAGCATGGCCTTGCCTGTGCAGGGATAGTAATAGCTCTAGAGAATGAACAAAGACAACTGCCTTTTCAATAACTAGAGTATGTATTATACCCTAAAGAATTATAGTTTTGGTTGTGAGCCTAGCCTTAACAGCTGAACCATCTCTCCCAGAACTCGGGAGGCAGAGGCAGGTGGATCTCTGTGAGTTCGAGGCCAGCCTGGTCTACAGAGTGAGTTCCAGGAAAGGCACAAAGCTGCACAGAGAAACCCTGTCTCAAAAAAAAAAAAAAAAAAAAAAAAAAAAAAAAATTAAAGCCTCAAAAATTAGAAATAAGAAAGAATGGGTTAAAAACTTTGAATAATTTTTGAAAGTTAGAAAGTTATTTGAGGACATTCAATGTCTGCGACCTTATTTAAAATTATCTACCAGTGATTTTGAACCTTTAAGCGATATTTTAAAAGGAGATAGTGATCTTAATTCGCTCAGACAGTTAGCAGAAAAAGGTAGACAGGTTCTTTTACAGGTTGAGAATGCTGTTCTCTTTTATAGTTACATCTTCCTGTTTTGCCAGCTAAGGTATTAAACACCCATTATGAAGCAGTAGCTTGTTTAGTGCAGAAAAGCTGGATGGAATCTAGGTGATATTTTGGTAAAAAAAAAAAATGTGATCAATGACACTTTTACTAAACAGCAAATTGATTGGCTATTTCAAAATAATGATTCTTGGACTATTGCTTTTGCACAATTTCTGGGGTAAATTATAATCATTTTCCTGCTGATTGATTATTACAATTTGCTCAGATGCATTCTTTTATTTTCCCTAAAATAGTCATGCAAATTCCAGTGAACGATGCTGATTTAGTGTTTACTGATGGTTCACCTAATGGAAACATAGCCTATGTAATTAATGGAAAAGGATACATAGATAGTCATTATATTTATAGAACTCTTCAAGTTATAGAAACTGATCCCTGCATTGGGACTAATAATGGTCAGGTTAGGATGCTGTTTCAGCAAATTCAAGATGCCATTCATCAAAGAAAGTTACCATGTTTTTTGGGTCGTATTAGAGCTAATTCCAATCTTCCTGGCCCTTTAGCTGATGGTAATGCATCAGCTGATAAATTGACACAGATAGTGACCTTATCCCAGGTAGAATTAGCTCAATAGTCCCATACCCTTCACCATCAGAATACCAGAAGTTTAAAATTAAAAAAAAAAAAATTGGCCTTACCAAGGAAGTTGCTGGTCAGATCGTTAAACAGCATGGGGTGTGTCTGCAATATTCAGCTGTGCTTTAGTTTGGGGTAAATCCTCAAGGCCTTCTTCCTAATCATTTATGGCAAATGGATATTACTCATATTGTAGAATATGGTAAATTAAAATATGTGCATGTGACAATAGATACTTACTCAGGATTTTTTTATGGCCATTGCACAATCTGGAGAAGACACTAAGCATATATCTGCTCATTGCCTGAAATATTTCTCCTATATGGGGATACCAAAAGTTATTAAAACTAATAATGGATCTGGATATATTAGTAAAGTATTTTAGCAATTTTGTTCCCAATGGAAAACTGAACATAAAACAGGCATTCCTTATAATCCTCAAGGATAAGGCATCGTTAAGAAAGCCCATGGCAGTCTCAAGATGCAGCTTCAAAAAATTAAGAGGGGAGAGTTATACCATTAATCACCACATAATGCATTGAATCATGACCTCTTCATTTTGAATGTTTTGAATATGGATACCCATGAGCAATCTGCCAGAGATAGATTTTGGCATGATGGCACCTGAGTGACTTTTGCTCAGGTCAAATGGAAAGATCCTTGCTCTGGATTATGGAAGGGTCCTGACCCTGTTTTAATATGGATTGGAGGGCATGTTTATATTTTTTCAAAGGAAGAAAATGAATCTCGATGCTGCCCTGAGTGCTTGGTGCAGTGTGTGGAACAGAGGAATCCTGGCCCTGATGACACTGTGCTTCTTGATACTCCCCCCCCCAGAGGAACTGGAGTGAGATTTGCTGAACCTGTGTTCCTGATCATCTGATGTTGCATCGTACACTCTGGGAAGGGAAGAAATGATTCCCAGCTTCCTGATAGACCTGCTGCACAAATTTCCCAGTCCTCTGTGAGTTCCAATTATTCTGAATCTGGCCAAGAAATGCCTATCTGTTTGTGATTGGGTATTTGTCCATTTATCCACACTGTATCTTGGAATGTGGAGGTCACCTTTGGCAGTATAGTGTTCATCTGCTGATTGCCCAGAGAAAATAGACGGCCTGGAGAACAGCTGCCTCAGAGTTTTACCCCTGTGGGAAAGAGACTCATTGGAGCAATTAACACTATTATAGAGGCAGTGTGCTAGACTGGTCAATAAATCAAATTTGAGGTACTGAAGAGGCCTCCCAGACTGATGAGGAGGAATTGGGACAAAACTTTTGCTGCTATTTGGTACTCTGGGATTGGATAGCTCAAATGTGTCTTTGGAAGTTGGTGGCAGCAATACATTGGATTTTAGGAGAGGAAAAAAAAAGGTTCAGAATTATGGGGTTACTCATAACTTACCTACCACAAAAACATTTTCTTGTCCCTTGATTTGGATCAGAGTTGTTGAGAATTATAATTTGTCCATTGCTAAATTCATATTAAAATTAGGATGTTAGCCTGTTAATGTTAAGATATTGTTGTAAAAATGGAGCATAAGTTGAATGCTTTATTTGAAGTAGTACAGTTGTTAAAAATAAGAGCTCATTTGAAATGTCAGTCTAAATTGACTAGGTATGTATAACCTCTTCTGTTTACAATGAAAGTGTTACTGAATGGAGAAAGGTTGGAGCTCATCTGAGAGGAATTTGGTATGATGCTAAAGAAGTCCTTAGATTTGATATGGTTGCATCAGGAGTTTACTGATTTAAAAAAGGCCAAGTTGGATTTTGATGCATCTAAAATTGCTGTGGACATCCTAAATTATTTAAAAATACCATTCTATCTTGATCATCCTCTACTCCTTTCTTTACTAGGAGGTATAGCAGCCATAAGGAGCATGTGCATTACTATGATTATTCAAGCTATTTGCAAGCTCTTAGTGGAAAGCTGATTCAGAGCTGCATGGAGTTACGCTCTGCACCCTCCCTTGGTAGTCAGAGATGGGTAAGTCCTTCTTGCCACCTGTCCACCTAAGACAGGGCACATTTGGTGGAAAGTGTGTTTCAATGATGGGAAAGACTGCATGGTTGAAGAAGGTGAAATAAGACAGGCACAGTCATTTGAGGGTCCCAAGGGAACCTTTATATTCTAAAGAAGGGGGAATTTGTGGGGGCCCACAGAGACCCCAGTTTGTGGCTGGGGTCAGAGAGTCCAAGCTTGTTTTCCCCTGCAAGGCTGCTTAATAAGATGTTTTGGCCAAAGCCACAGTCACCAGATGTCTTAAGTATTAAGGAGGTGTTTACACTTTGTTGTACTTTTGTACCTTGAACCATAATATCTTTGAAAGGAGGAAGTCTCTTTGTCCCCCTTGCTTTGGGTATTTAAAGGCTGTGAGTAATAAAACTCGTATCTATGGCATTGACCCAGAGCCCTTCCAAAGCTATCCTGTGTCTCTGTTTTTTTCTTCATCTATGTCTATATTTCATAGCTATCATTTCCCAATTCCACCTCCCCCCCCCCCCGCCGCCTTCAGAACCATTCAACAGGTGGAGCAGAACTCAACATCCCCCCACCCAACCCTTCCCGCCTCCACCTATAACAAGTGGGAGAACTGGCCTGGGGAGGTATGAGAATGGAAGAGTTGGCCCTGCCCCTCACCAAGTGGAGCAATCCAGAGAGTGGGCCCTAATCCTTCCCTGGACAAAACAGGAGAGCTGGCTCTGGTGGAGTGAGTGCAGATGAGCTCGACCCAAGGGTGTGAGAGCAGGAGAACTTGTCCCTCTTCTTGCTGTCCGCTACACCAGGTGAACTAGCTAGAGCTGTGCTGGAGAACACACCTGGGTGGTGATGGTGAGGGAAAGCTGGCATGTGACCAACCCAGCCACCTCCCAGGCCCGGAACCAGGGTTATGAGTTGGCCCACCCCAACATCCTCCTTATCTATGAATGGCTGAAGCATGTGAAAAAGCTTGACCTGCAGAACCAAATCTGCAGGATCTCTATGACACAGGGTAACAGCAGGGTATTCCAAGAGGAGTCTCAGTGAGGTTTCAGTATCAGAAGTCAGAGGCCTCAAACCAGATGACTCATTGAAATGAACACTTACAAGTAAAGATGTATGAACAATAGGGCATACTGTGTAACTCACTGTGTTACTCTACAGCTTCCATGTGGAAACTTCTTTATGTTAGCTTGGTTGTTTTTGTTCTTTTTTGTTTTTCTTTTGAATTTTGTTTTGTTTGGGGGTGGGTGTTACAAGGGTGGATGTTGAACATGAAGGGATGGGGAGATGAATGGGATTGGGATGTATGATGTGAAGTCCACAAAGAATCAATAAAAAAATTTAAAAATTATCTGGTAGAGTGGATTTTGAATGATTTTAACACAAAAAAATGATAAATTATTTAGGTGATTGATGTCACAATTACTCTGGTCTGGTCATTATACAGTGTTTTTGTGTTTAGAAAATTCTCATTGCATTCTATAAATATGTATGATTATTATGTGTGTTTAAAAACATTATGGCATGTTCAGTATCTTATAAACATTCTTGTGAAATGTTTTCAAATGTTTACTATAGTGGAAATCTATGTTTTAATGATCTGCCTTTACCTAGGAGCTGTGATGTACTGGGATTCATTCAGAAGGCTTGGATACAGTGAATAACATCTAAAGATGCTCCTTATACACTTGGTGAAAAAACAGATTTTTTCATTAAATACAGAATATTATGGTATGAGTCTTATATACATATATGAATATAGAGAGAGAAATATTAATAACCAGAAATGGGTTTTTAAACACCCTCATTCTACTCCTAGAACAACCATGCTTTGAAGGCAGTAGAAACATAGTTTTCAATTTCTTCAAAGACCCATAGGGAGCCAAGAGTACTTTCTTTAAAAGTTTACTCATTGTAGAGACTGCCTAAAAGACTGAGCTCTGTTCCAAAATTGGATCTAAAGTATGGACAAGCATAATAGCATATTGGTGAATTTGTGAGTCTGCACATTGATAAATATAAAGTGAGACACAATTCACTGAATTGCTGAAAGATAACAAAGAAATTCTCAAAAGCCACAGGATAAAGAGATTTTCAGTAAAATTAACTTATTTCTCTTCATAAGTTATAGAGGACAGAAGACATGAAGGCATGAATGAAAGAAAAGAAAGACACTATTTTCTAAGAGTTCTATATCTGAACAGAAACCTATTATTTTAAAATGATGACATTCATAGTTGTGACAGCTGGGTAGGACTACTGACTATCTGCATACCTTGGCAACTTGCATGGCAACTTCTGGTACTATGAAAGGTAGGCTTCAGCAAATATTCTTTCATGTAAGAAGCAGTTTGAATTTTCTAAGTCCTGTATCTCAGGTGTGTGGTATCTTCAGCAATGACTCACCTCAGCTTCTGGGAGGCAACCAAGCACAACATCAACATCAATAGCCTATAGTTTCGGGAATCAAACTACCATGACCAACCAATTGAAAGGTTCTTCATGCCCAATACTGAAGTTTTTATTAGTCTATGGCCCTTGTAGGGGGCATTGTTAGCCCAAGTGACATTTAAGCAGTGTGTGTGTATGTGTGTGTGTGTGTGTGTGTGTGTGTGTGTGTGTGTGTGTGTGTGTGTGTGTGTTTGTACTTACAGGTATTATATGTAATTAAATAAATATAAAATATGAATTCTTGAGTCTTTTTCAAACACTCTTGGCACTCTTTACCCCCCCCCCTTCATCCTCTCCTTCTGTATTGACCTCCATTCCCCTCCCCAAATAAAACTCACTCCCTGTTTTTCCCTATGAGTCACAAGAATGACCAGCATGGCAATATATCCCTAAAGGTGCGATAGTGACACTCATGTCTTGGCAATAACTAACAGCTCTCCACTTGTATTTAAGGCCTACTCAATAAAAGGGAAATGATGCCTGGTGCTGGAAACCTAGCCAACCACCTAAGGCTAGTAAGCACATGGATCTCAGAGAGGAACGTACTTCCATCACTTTACTAGACCAGAGTAATTCCAAATAGCATTCTAAAATGTATCCCTATACCCATAGATAAGTGTAGCTCTCATTCCTCATCAAAGAAGCTTTTTTTTGTAGCAGACAACAGACAGAGACCATTACAAAAAACCCACAGCTGCTTAAAATGCAGAGATTAAATGATTTTTGAGATGCCAAGCCCCAAGATATTCATCTGCAACAAAATTTCTACACCTAAGGCTCAGGGAATATCATGGAAGAGGAATTGGAAAGTCTATAACAACCAGAGGACCAGTAAGTCTAATGTGAGATTGTGTCTACTAGAAATAACTAGGCTATACCCACAGCACTTACAAAATATGGCTGCCTAAACAAGACCTGAAGAAAGACTGTAGCTAGAGTTTTCCTGCCTTGCCCACAGTCAGGACAAATCTTTGTCACCCACCAGTCCCACAGCCGCTCAGACCCAACCAAGTAAACACAGAGACTTATATTGCTTACAAACTGTATGGCCATGGCAGGCTTCTTGCTAACTGTTCTTATATCTTAAATTAATCCATTTCGCAAATCTATACCTGCCACGTGGCTCGTGGCTTACCAGTACTTTACATCTTCTTTGTCCTGGAGGCTCCAGGCAGTCTCCTTCTGCCTTCCTGTTCTTTTATTTCTCCTCTCTGTTAGTCCCGCCCATTACCTCCTGTCTAGCCATGGCCAATTAGGTTTTATTTATAGACCAATCAGAGCAACTTGACATACAGACCATCCCACAGCACAGCCAAGTGCAGACCATCTCAGACACCTGCACTCAGGCCCGTGGTCCTAATCATCCTCTATGTGGACTTGCTGGGTAAAGCCACGAGGAACCCAAGAACAGGCTCCCACAGGACATACAGAACATCCCACAGCAAAAGACAATACAATACTGTTGTAGTTTGAATATATTTGGCCCCAATAAGCTCATAGGGAGTGGCAATATTAGGAGGTGTGGTCTTTTTGAATGAGACACACTTTTAATCCAGACCTTGAGGCTGGACGTTATATCTATAATCTGGGCCACACCGTCTGTTGAAAGTGTGTCACTGTGGGGGTGGGCTTTGAGGTCTTTATCTCAAGCTTCACTCAGTGTGACACTCAGTGGACTTCTTGTTGCCTCTGAGTCAAGTTGTAGGACTCTCAACTCCAGCACCTCCTCTGACTGCATGCTCACTGCCGTGATGGACTGAACCTCTGAACTATAAGCAAAAGCTAGAACCCTCAATTAAATGTTTTCTTTTTTAGAGTTGTCATGGTCATAGTGTCTCCTCACAGCAATAGAAAACTAAGACAAACACACATATTAACATGGAAAGAGAAACTCAGTGGTGACCCACCCACAGACAAAGAACTACAGGCAATGACTGCTGAGAGAGAATGAATTAGTTTTTCCCAGGGATGAGTCTCCTAATTGGTTATTTAATACCAAGTGGTCAGCCCTGAAATCATAAACACACAAGCAACACTATCAGAATAGTCAGGTTGTATTTATATACTTATGCATTTATGTGTGTATGTGTGTGTGAGAGAGAAAGAGAGACAGAGACAGACACACACAGAGAGAGAGACAGAGACAGAGAGACGGAGAGAGAGTAACAAAGAGAAAGAGGATATGAATTTGAGAGGGAATGGAACTGGCAAGGGAAGACTGGATGAAGAGGACATGGAAAGGGTTGAAGGGAATAAAGCAAAGGGGGAATGATGTAATTATATTGTAATTAAAATTAAAAATATGCCCCAAATGGTGAAATTAAGACATCCCCACATAAGCAAAAGTTGAGGGTGTTCAGATACAATCTATCTGTCACACAATAGATTCTAAATGCAGTCCTTAAGACAGAAATAAAAGGAATTTATAGAGTAACTGAGAATCATACCCTAAAAGAACAGTGCTAAGCCTAAATTTACATGGCAATATATAAACAAGTATCATTCTATCATTATTTGAAATTTCTCTTTTTTGTAAGTGATTTAAAATGTGGATTATGAAATAATAAGTACAAAGTTATGTTGACAACACAATGTATAAGGTCTTTAAGAAAAAGAATATAAAGGATAAAGAGATAGGTCTATGCCAGATTCACTGTATACTATTAAGACTAAGCTACTAGAATTAGAACTTTCCAAACATTTTATATTAAAACTTATAGAAGAGGAACAAGGATAGAATGATATTTATTATCTCCATTTAACCACTTAAAAAAGAAAACGATAGCAACAAAACAGAGATAAATGAGAACTCATTCAAAATAATGCACTAGAAAAATTAAGTATAATGCAAAAAATAAACAGGAATTTGAATAAAATATATAAAGCATACTGAAAAATAGCAGTACTTTTATAAATCCTCCCTAACTAGCAGTTACTTTAAAAGTAAGTTTTGATTAGCTTAATAATAATATAGAGAAAATGGCTAATTAAAACACCTAGATGACTTCACTAGTAATTTCTACCAATCTTTTTGTTTTTTTCTTTCTCCTGAGACAGGGTTCCTCGTGTAGCCATGGATGTCCTGGATCTCACTCTGTAGACCAGGCTGGCCTTAAATTCAGAGATCTTCCTGCCTATGCCTCTCAAGTGTTGGGATTAAAGTTGTGTGCCACCACCACCCAGCTACCAATCTTATTTTTAATGAACATAATTGTTCTTAACATTTTCAAAATAAGTAGAAAGAAAACCTTCTCTCTTTTTTGAGGTTTACATTATTATAATAAAATATCTGGATATTTAAATCACAAGAAAGATAATTATACACTATCTCACTCATTTTTTTGCAACAGATGTAAAAATCTCCACCACATTAATACCATGAATCTATGGATATATTTCAAGGCTCATGCATTATAGCTAATGAGAATTATCTTAAGTATGTGGAATTTTCAACATATAAAAATCAATCAATATAATAGAATGAAGTGAAAAAAATCTAGATGATTAAATTTGATATAAAAAGGCATCTGAGACAATATAATACAATTTCATGACAGGAACATTGAACTAACTGTAACTAGACATTTGTTTCCTCAATGTGAGAAAGGCCATCTATGAAAAATCCACACCAGTAATGTTCAATAATCAGAAGGTTAAAATAAGGAAATAATTTACACAAACAACAAAAGAATAAAATACTTAGGAATAAATGTCATGTGGTGTGGTGGATTAAATGAGAAATGCCTCCCCTCATCTCAGGCATTTGAAAACGTGGCCCCACTTGGCGACATTGTTTGCAGTGGTGGAGGTAGCACAGCCTTGCTGGAGGCATTATACCACTGGGTTTGAGATTTAATAGTCCCACTACGTCCATTTCACGCTCTCCATTTCATGCTTACAGTAAAAGCTGTGAGCTCCCAGCATCCTATTTCTGAATGGCTTTGGTCATGGTGTTCATCAAAAAAAAAAAAAGTAACTAATACAGACAGAAAAGGCATGTGCATTTAAAACTAGGAAAGTTTTCTGGAAGAAATTAAAGAAGACTTAAATCAATGAAAAGGCTCATGGGTTGGAAGACTTAAGATTGTTAAAGATGGAGATAATCACTAAATAGTTCATAGTTTTGTTGGAATCTTCATTAAAATCCAAATGTTATTTTTTTAAAAAAAATGAGAAACCTTACCTTAAAAATCTCATAGAATTGTGAAAATCTATAAATAGAACAATCTTAAAAGGAAGAAATTTTGTTATCATGCCATTCGTGCCACTATTACACTAGTGGGCATATCTTACTGGGCAGGTTTTTATTGTAACTTTCAGATTTCATATGTGGATTAGACTGGTTATTTTTTTTCTCCTCTGGTAGCATGCATAGAAACCCCCCAAAACTATGACAGCTTGTCAATAAGAATGATATTTCTAGGTCACTGAGAGCTTGATTTTCCCATGTTCTTTCACTGAAGTATATGGTGTCTTCAACAACAGGGGTTTACTGTTGTTAACTTCCAGAAGGTTACCACGAGCACTAACAACAGCTTGTAATATTGGGTGTCTATGGAAATTCACTGGACAACAATTCCAATAGATGTATCTCATTTCTGACACTGGGCTTTTTATTTGTTGCTATGTGATGTCTAGTAGGGGCATTACTGCTCAATCACAATGTAACTGTGATTTTAAGTCTTTTTTATATGTATATGTTTGTATTTTTAGAAGCTTCTCCAGTAGTGACTTTTCATATGACTTTTGGGGGAAGATATTTAGTATTAGTTATCCTTCATCCTATTCCCTCCTCTGTCCGGCCTTCCCATACCTTATTCCATCCAGCCCTTTCTGTTCCATTTTTCTCCTTCTCCCCTTTGTATCACTGTGTTCTACCTTCCCTCCTTTAAAATCGTCCATTCTTCATGGCTCCTTGCAAGTTTCCTAACCTCTGTGTGTAATCCAAATGAAACACATCTCTCAGTATTTAAAGCCAGTATCCACACATGAAAGAAAATATGTTTGCCATTTTGGATCCCACCATACTCAGAATGATTGTTCCCAGATCAATCCATTTCCCAATAGCTTTGTGAATGGACTTAATTTCTGTTCCACAAGATGGAACACATACCACATATCTGACACAATTATCAGAGCCAGGAACCTGTCACTAGATAGCTCATGAACCATAGGGGAGAACCTACTACTATTATGCTGATAAATGATATAGTATTAAAACAATTCCTAATGACTCATCACTTATTATACCCATAGATTAGTGCCACAAACTCAAGACTTATCACTGAATATTTTTTGCAATAGATATAGTGACTAACACAGAGATTCTCAATTAGTCAATGTACAAAGAATAAGTGAGCGAAGAGTACTCAGCTCTATATGGTGTATTTACTATATCATACTCCTTCCTCCCAAGCTTCAGGAAACATTGAGGAAGAGTGAAAGAAAGACTGTAATAACCAGAGGCAGTGAATGATTACAAACAAACAATACTTTCTGGACACAGTAGGGCAATTGCACATACAAACTCATAGCAGATATGATAGTAGTATCAATACCTCAAGCCAAGTAAAATCCCAGCATGGAATGAGAAGGTGGGGAGGAAGTTCTACCTCTAGCTGAGTTGTAATGGACTGCTGTTGCTGCTGATGATACTGTTGCTTGAAAAGGAGAGTTAGTTTTCTTTAAAGGTGAGATCTCTAGTAGATCTAACATACTCCAGTAATGGCAAGAGCATATTGGCAGCAATAATGGGGCTCTTTAGATTTAAAAAACAAAAGAATGAGGATGCAAAAGCTGGGGAGATATGGAATGTGGCTATTGTACTTTCATATCTGTGTTCCCAAAGGGAAAGATGTAAAACATTTCTATAAATGTCCGTATCAGCATGTTTATAAAAGCCAAAGAGAAAAACAAAGCAAATGTCTGCTAACGTGAATATACAAATAAAGTATGGTATACTTAATACTATCTACCATAAAAAGGCATGAAATATGACATGCACAACACAAATTAAATTCAAAAATATTCTAAATCATTAGTGCCACATATGAAAAATTAAATATTGTGTGATTCCATTTATATAAAATATCTAGAATAGGTAAACTCAGAGAAGAAAAGCAAATTTGTGAATTCTGGAGCTTAACAAATATGAGTTTACCTTTGAGTTGATGAAAATACTTTATAACTAGATGGCAGTTAGGGTTGCATCCATTGGAAATACAAAAGCAACTTCCTCTGTGATCTATCAAATTATGTTTTTTTATTACCATAGTGTATTCACTATGTTATATGTCATGTTCAGTAAAAACCACATTTTAAATTTTGAATTTAGGCTACAAATATATAGTATGATAACATCTTGTCATGTTCTGCAATAACAGTGAACTCAGTGGCAGCCCTGCAACCATAGCAACAGTAAACAATCTATATTCTACAGTGCTCTCTGCTGCCAAGTTATTAAATACGTGTGCATTAAATGCATATTTGATCTATGATATTTTTAAATTGCCTTAGGTTTAATAGGATGTATCCTCATCATAAGCAGATGAGTATTAGATGCAGCTGAAGTGTACATTTTAAGATGATTACTTCTGGAGCAGTGTGAAGAAGCAGCGAGAAAGACCCCCGGACGGACCGACCCCGCACACCGCCGCATCCCCGCGTTCAGCGCCGACGTCCCCCGCTGCCGCCATGCCCAAAAGAAAGGCTGAAGGGGATACTAAAGGA